TTGGTCCCGTCACAGGAATCTGAGCCTGACCATATTTCTAAAAAATATGATTAGGCTGGGTGTGGTGGCTCACGCCTGTAATCCCAGCACTTTGGTAGGCTGAGGTGGACAGATCACTTCAGGTCAGGAGTTCGAGACCAGCCTGGCCAATATGGTGAAACCCCATGTCTACTAAAAAAAAAAAAAAAATTAGCCTGGTGTGGTGGCGGATGCCTGTAATCCCAGCTACTCAGGAGGTTGAGGCAGGCTTTAACTCAGGGGCAGGAAGTGGTAGTGGAGGTTGCAGTGAGCTTAGATAAAGCCATTACACTCCACCCTGGGCAACAGAGTGAATCTCTCTCTCTCTCTCTCTCTCTCTCTCTCTCTCTCTCTCTCTCTCTCTCAGTGTGTGTGTGTGTGTGTGTGTGTGTGTGTGTGTGTGTGTATATACATGATGAATACCAGCCCTGCCTAACCTGGGGTTGTTTCATTCAGTGGGATTTAACCTCAGAAGTTTTGAAAGTATGCTAAAACATCAAACAAGGGGCCAGACACAGTGGCTTATGCCTGTAATCCCAACACTTTGGGAGGCCGAGGTGGGTGGATCACCTAAGGTCAGGAGTTTGAGACCAGCCTGACCAACATGGCAAAACCCCGTCTCTAAAAATATACAAATAAACAAACAAACAAACAAACAAAAATGAAATAAGGGTTTCTTTGAAATGATTATCTGATTATTTTTGAAGGATTATTTGCAAACATCACATAAGGCGATGCTCTAGGTATCAAGACCCCTCCCTCATCACCGTTTCCCCAGAAGCCTTCGCACTTTTCCTTACGCTTTTCCTGCTTTCCTCATCACCCTTCCCTTCTCTCCCATGGTGCAGTTTGCTGCTGCAGTTCTTCACAGGCGGGTGAAAGTGTGCAGGAACCCCCTGCCTCCTGGAGCCTCTAGGACTTTAGCCAAGCCCAAGAAAGTCTCAGGAATTCCCATTTCCCCCCATCCTTCATTGTGCAGGGTGGCTGAGGGGCCCCAGATTAGGGACCGGCAGAGAGAGGTGCTCTGCTAGTCTCAACAGCTTTGTCATGATCTCTTGCCTGGCACAGTGATACTGTCGGCAGAAGCCCTGGCATTGCGGCGAGCAAAGCAGGCCCAGCGGCGGGCACAGCAAACACCTATGCAACTGAGTAAGGAGCGAGAAGAGCTGATCCGGACACTCTTGGGGGCCCACACACGCCACATGGGCACCATGTTTGAACAGTTTGTGCAGTTTAGGGTGAGCACCGACAGGTTTGGGGTTGGAATACAACCAAAAGGGCACCCAATAAGGCTGGTCTGAGGGAGAGGGGTGTGTGCCATGCACCAACACAGAGGACAGATCTCCAGAACCCCAGCCTCAGCAGGCTTCTCAGCAAGGAACTCTTCCAAAATAAGGCTGGTGAGGACTAAAGGAAGGCCCTAGGGCCAGGGCCTCTAGCTAATGCTCTGATCATTGCAGCCTCCAGCTCACCTGTTCATCCATCACCAGCCCTTGCCCACCCTGGCCCCTGTGCTGCCTCTGCTCGCACACTTCGCAGACATCAACACTTTCATGGTACAGCAAGTCATCAAGTTTACCAAGGACCTGCCCCTCTTCCGGTGAGTAACCTCCCCTCGTCTTTCAGGAGGCAAGCATTTTAGTAAGTTGTACGCCCACCCCAAAAAGTCACTGACGACAAATTAACACATGCCTCAGCCTTTCCAAGCATTAGGTTTTGAATTCCCCGCTTTGTTTTTAAGTGTGCCAGTCAGAACTTGGTGTTCTTCTTCCTCTCTGAAGTACAGGTTCGCATCTAAAGTGCCCTTGAGGTGCCTTGCAGTGGCTCGTGCTAGTAATCCCAGCACTTTGGGAGGCGGAGGCCAGCAGATCACTTGAGTCTAGGAGTTTGAGACCACCCTTGGCAACATGACAAAACCCCATCTCTACAAAAAAAATACAAAAATTAGCTGGGCACGACGGTGTGCACCTGTGTCCTACCTACTCAGGAGGCTGAAGTAGGAAGATCATTTAAGCCCAGGAGTTTGAGGCTGCAGTGAGCCAAGATGGTACCATTGCACTCCAGCCTAGGTGACAGAGTAAGACCCTGTCTCAAAAAAATGAAAACTAAAAATAATGATAATAGGCCAGGCACGGTGGCTCATGCCTGTAATCCCAGCACTTTGAGAGGCCAAGGCGGGTGGATCACTTGAACTCAGGAATTTGAGACCAGCCTGGCCAACATGGTGAAACCCATCTCTATCAAAAATACAACACTTAGTCGGGTGTGGTGGTGGGTACTTATAATCCCAGCTTCTCAGGAGGCTGAGGCAGAAGAATCACTTGAACCCAAGAGGCAGAGGTTTGCTGTAGCCAAGATCAGGCTATTATACTCTAGCCTGGGTGACAGAGCAAGGCTCACACCTATAATCCCAGCATTTTGGGAGGCCAAGGCAGGAGGATTGCTTGAGCCCAGGAATTTGAGACCAGCCTGGGCAACATAGCAAGACCCCATCTTTACAAAAAATAAAAATAAACAAACAAAACATTAAAAAGTGGGCCAGGCACAGTGGCTCATGCCTGTAATCCCAGCACTTTGGGAGACCACAGCAGGTGGATCACTTGAGGTCAGGAGTTTGAGACCAGCCTGGCCAACATGGTGAAATCCTGTCTCTACCAAAAATATAAAAAATTAGCCGGGCATGGTGACACACACCTGTAATCCCAGCTTTTGGGAGGCTGAGGCAGGAGAATTGCTTGAACCTGGGAGGCGGAGGTTGCAGTGAGCAGAGATCACGCCATTGTGCGCCAGCCTGGGCAACAAAGTGAGACTGTCTCAAAAAAAAAAAAAAAGTTAAAAAGTGCCCTTGTTTCCTGCTTTCCACAGGTCCCTGCCCATTGAAGACCAGATCTCCCTTCTCAAGGGAGCAGCTGTGGAAATATGTCACATCGCACTCAATACCACTTTCTGTCTCCAAACACAAAACTTCCTCTGTGGGCCTCTTCGCTACACAATTGAAGACGGAGCCCATGGTGAGATGGTGCTAGAGCAGTAGGGGGCATGTGTCCTCGCGGTACAGTGTGCAGTCGGGTGACCTAGAGGCTCCTAATCCTAGTGTCTCCCGCAGTGGGGTTCCAGGTAGAGTTTTTGGAGTTGCTCTTTCACTTCCATGGGACACTACGAAAACTGCAGCTCCAGGAGCCCGAGTATGTGCTCTTGGCCGCCATGGCCCTCTTCTCTCCTGGTGAGCATCTCCCAAAGCCCAGAACCTTTTGCTGCTCCACCTCTGCCCAAACACTCAGTTCCTTGAGTCTATCCACCCCAGGCCTTCTAGCCATCAAACCTGCAGACTAGGTCTATCCCAGCCTCGGTCCCCGGGGCACTATGCAGGCCCACCCCTGCCGCCCACTGTGTCCTTCCCAGTTCCCTATCTTACAGACCGGCCTGGAGTTACCCAGAGAGACGAGATTGATCAGCTGCAAGAGGAGGTGGCACTGACTCTGCAAAGCTACATCAAGGGCCAGCAGCAAAGGCCCCGGGATCGGTACGGTGGGACACGGAGGGCTCGGAGGCCACACCAGGGCAGGAAGGGGTTGGCGAAACATTGAACTTGGGAGGAATGTCTTTCACTGTCCTTTCCTTAGGGAATTCAGGTCTCTTGGGGTCTAGTCTTTCCCCCTGGCCATCCCTGTCTCACATCGTTTCAGCATCCAAATTGCTGAATTTGGATACTGCTGTTTCATCTCACTTTTTCCAGATTTTTTTATTATTATTATTTAGTACAGATGCAAAGTAGTAGCTCAGAGGCTCTGGGTAATAGCATTCCTGAGATTGATGACATCCATCACCTCACCAGTCCAGCTTCTCCAGACTAACGCAGACTTTTAAGTCTTGTTCACTCCCTTCCCTTGGCCTTTCCTCTCCTCGCCATTGGGCTGATTCCTTCGATTTTTCTTTTCCCTTGAAGTTATAGTCATTCACAGTTTCATGGCCAAAGCCAGTTTCAGTTTCATAGTCTGCGATTTATCCAGGCTCTGAGGTATAAACCACTTCTGTTTTGCTCATTCCTCCAAGAGCCAGTTTGGCCAGAAAGGGGACACTTCATACCACAGAACATATCCACCTTCTAGAACCTGCTCTGGAGGGCCAGGCCCTCAGATTCCACACAGCTGGAATTCTGGCCAAGTCTGGAGCTTTCTTCACACTCGGCCCTCAGAGCTCTGGGGTCAGAATAACTGAGCTTGGTGAGAGAAGACAGTGTCAGACTGAGGCCCCCTCGAGGACCTTTGGAACTTCTGATAATCTGTCATACCAGAGCATGATTTTCTCTAATGTCAGACCTGGCTTCACTGAGGAACAGTTCAGGGGATCAGGGCCTCAAGACAAGACTCCCAGGTGCCTTATTTCCCTCCTGTTTTCCTGGCAACCCCACTACTTCCTCCACAGGTTTCTGTATGCAAAGTTGCTGGGCCTGTTGGCTGAGCTCCGGAGCATTAATGAGGCCTATGGGTACCAAATCCAGCACATCCAGGGACTGTCTGCCATGATGCCGCTGCTCCAGGAGATCTGCAGCTGAGGCCAAGCTCACTGCCTTCCCCAGCTCCTGGGACACCCTGGACACTCTGGAGAGGGGAAATGCTGGGACAAAAGATTGGACCATGTTCAAAGAGAGCCCAGTGGTTGCAATGAAAGACTAAAGCAATAACTGCCTCTTCATGCAGTCATGGGGATACTGGGGGTGACCATGGGAACAAAGTTGTTCTCTGGAAGCACAGAAGGTGGGAAGGAGGAAGCCTCGGGGCTAAGAGGTAAAGAAGCTCCTTCTGGGAATGGATGGGCCCCACTTTCTAAGACCAAAGATCTAGCCCTTCAGCCCTACTTCCCCAGCCTTGGGAGGCTCTGGGATGGAAAACAGGATGGTCAGCTAATCCCATGCAGGATTAACCACAGGGAAAGGAATAAGGAAGTCTGGGGGCAGGGGGCACCAGAGGGAATTCAGCCAGACATACCCCTTAATCCTTCCCCCTTAGTCCAGAGCCACAAGAGCATGGGGAAGGTGATACTGGGGCTGGTAGCAGAGGGGGGATCCCCAAACTTCCACCTCATCAGCTGCCCCTGTGGCAGCTCCAGTTCTGAGGAGGGCATGGTCCTGTCCCCCACTCTGCTCCTGGGTCCTAGAGGTCACCCAGCAAGGCGGGCTCTGGAGAGGGGCCTAGTCTCTGGCCCTAGGGCACCTGACTCAGAGGTTCCAGCTGCTGTGGGGGCTGACTCAGGGACAACCTCAGCCCACAGTGATGCTGAAGCCACAATGGAATCTGTTGCGCCAGTGATTGAGAAAGGCTCCAAGGGCTAGGGTGACAGGCAGAGGGGGCATCTTCTTCTCCAGCACAGCACCTACACACCAGTTACTATCCACCAAGCCTGTTGGGGGAGAGAATACCAACCAGGTTATTTAACAGGGATTGGAGGAAATAGTCACCAGAAGTAAGGTCAGCTTCCTCCCTCTGCATCCTCCATCCCTCAGCATAGCCAGATGTCTCCCAATAACCCTCACCTCTAAACACCATGTTGGCCTGGGGTAGAGTCAGGTGGTAACCAAAGGAGAAGGTTGTGTCTTGTAGCCTTGTGTTTGCCTCAAACTCCACTCCAACCTGAACCTGAGAACCACGGGCAAGGATGAGAGCAGAAGGGTCCTGACGGGGGATCAGCAGAATGAAGGCATGCATGGAAATATATACACGGCATGGTAGGAGGAAGACTAGGTCAGCAGGGCGGTAGAGGTCCAGATGGACAGAATTTCACGACTGACTTGCTGAGGAGGAGGGGAGTGAGGTCAGAGGTCTCACCTGTTCATTTGCCTTGTGGTAGTAACTTGCATGGGCCCCGCCTGATCCCACATTCAATGTAGCTACCCAGTGTACAGCTGTAAAATCCAAAGTGCAGAGGGGAAGGTGTGTCACTACAGTATGACACGGGCCAGGAACCCCAGAAAAGTCCAGAATTGCCTCTCCTGGCCACTACTATGCTTAACCCCATACCCGAGTACTTCCCAGCCAGTGTCAAGATGGCCCCCTCTTCGCCCGGCCGCCGGTGATAAACGAGCTCTCCACCCAGCACCAGCCGATGAGTGAGGCTCTGCAGGAAGTGAGCCACCATGATCACTGTGGGGGAATGGGAAGACATGGAGTCAGCCGTAGACACAACATCCAGGTCTGCTCCCTCACCCCCATAAGCCCCACCCCAGCCTGCCCAAGAAGTTCCTTTTCTAAACTCCGAACTGTACAGAAGATGAAGAGACATAGTCAACATTAGCAAAATGGGCAGCCAAGATAAAAAGAACCCTGTCCCATTCCTCACCTGACTCTCCAATCAGGTCAGGATTTCCCAGGGTCAGAGTGGCTGTGTAGTCATCTCCCCGATACTCGCCATCAAACTGCCATGTCAGGAACTTGGCCTGCTGCGTCTGGGTGGCAAGAGCAAGAAGTAAAATATCCCTCCCTCTTATTGTTTTTTTCCTGAGATGGAGATGGAATTTCACTCTTGTTCCCCAGCCTGGAGTGCAGTGGTGTGATCCCGGCTTACTGGAACCTTAGCCTCCCGAGTAGGTAAGATTACAGGAGTGCACCACCACAGCCGGCTAATTTTTGCATTTTTAGTAGAGACGGGGTTTCACCATGTCGGTCAGGCTGGTCTTGAACTCCTGACCTCAGGTGATCCACCCACGTCGGCCTCCGAAAATGCTGGGATTACAGGCGTGAGCCACGGCGCCGGCCTCTCTCCTTCTTTATGATCATTATTGACCCTGCTCCTCCTTCTAAGCCCTCAGAGCAGGAAACCCGTGGAGGAGAAAGAGGAAGTGCCTCAGGGGATGGAGGCAGGAACTGGTCACCTGGAAGACAGCCTTAGCTCGGAGCCGCTCTGCCAAGAGGAGCAAGACCTGGGCGTTCAGGCTGCCACTGCTGTCCATGTCCCCTACCACAGTGGGGAACACCTGTGGAAGTGGGTACACAGTAGTAAGGCTGAGCCGGGTGGCACCACTCAGCCTCAACCCAAATATAGGACTTCATTAACAGTACACAGCGCCCCCTGGTGGAGTCACAGAGACACACTCTGGGCTCTTCACAGAAAACGTTTCTCTACCCTCTCCCATTCAGAAGAGACATCCCATTCCTCCTCATAACACCCACAATTCCTCCCCCTCCAGAACTGGGTCCCAGATTGGCTTTTAGGGAGATGACCCAGGTGTGTGGAGCCCTCACCTCCGTGGGACTGAGCTGCCAATCCCCTGCATAGGCCGCATGGAGGTGATATCCCGGCAAGCCCAGGGCACTCATGTGTATAGTGTGAGCCACCTGAGGAAAGAGGAGTCAGTGGAGAAGAGGGCACATTCCTGCCCCACTTCAATCCCTCATCCCACCCTTCGTCTCTTCTCCCCATCCAGAGGGCCTCTCAAGAATCCCCAAATATTCCAACATACACAGGATCATTGGATTAAAAGCAACAAGTCCCACAGGCAAGGGAGGTAAAGAGAACCCCACATCCTCCCTCATTTGTCCCACATAGCCTGGCTAGGGCTGGAGTACAAAGGAAAGGAGAAGAGGATCCAGGGACAGGAAAGGAGGAATAGTAAGGAGGGGCCAGAGAAGTGGGAGCACCTGGAAATGGCTGCTCAGAACCTTGTTGACAACGAGCTTCACGCCCTCCATCTGTGCTGGGAATACATCTGAAGGGGGTAGGGGAAGGGAAGGAATAAGCACAGACAAGGAACCCCTACCCCAAAAGGTAGTCTCCCCTTTCAATCCCACAGGGAGCACTTTGGAGGAATTAACCTCCTTTCAAGTCGTGCAATGAAATGCTCCGCTTCATTTGGGCACCTGATCCTCTCTGACTCTGCATGCTCCAGCTGTGATTTCCCCTTTCCTGCTCCCATCGCCGGACATCCAGCATTCAAGACCCTCTACTTCTCTGCCCCTTCATCTTGAGACACCCAAATGCCAAGTTCTCACCTTTGCATAGCCGGTGCAGCTCATCGAAGCTCCCAGGGTTCGGCAGAGGTTCCTCTCGGCGGGGGCTCCGGCGGGGCAAAGTCCCCATTGGTGCCAGGCCCAATGTGTTCCCCATTTTAGTCCAGAGGGCGGGGAAGGGCCGGCGTTAGCCTGTGAAAGGACGCTATTGCCCCTTTACCCCCCAACAGGCCCCACCCCCATTATCCAGCTCCCCAGTCCCAGAAACTTCCACATGGTCCGACGCTGGACCTGGAACAGGAAGAGTAGGGGAAAAGAGCACTCATGGGGAGACAACCCCAGGCACACTCCTGCCCCATCTTTGATCTCTCACCCCCACCTGTCACCCCTGTCCCCTCTCCCTTTCTTTAATCCTAGCCCCCACCACAGACCTCACCTTGCTCCCTAGTCTCTCTACTCTTCATTCCCAGGCCCCAAGACCAGGCCTGCAATGGTGCAGTATCCCTTACCATCTCAGACCATCATGCTGCCCCTTTCCCCCGGCACACCCCGGTCATCTTGATGGGGGCGGCCATCTTGAGTGATGGCAGAACTGCAGCTTCACGCTGCATTCTTAGCGTGGCCATAAGCGCCATCTTTGAATCTGGCAAAGAAAGCTGTCAAAGACCCAACCCACCCCAATTGGGTCCCGCCCAATCAGTGAGAAAAAAAAGAAGCCTCTCTATCTACCCGGGGCCAACGCAAAGGGAGGAAGCAAATGAGTGGCAGGTCGGCCGGCCCAAGAGCTTCAACTGTGGCGCTGCAGAGGCGGGCGGGACTTGATTGGTGGCCCCTTAGACTTAAGTGGATGGCCTTAGATCACTAGGCCTCTGCAAGGTCGGAAAAAAACTTATGAGCATGCAAGACACTAGAGGGAGCATCTTGTAGCTTGGGCCATTGAAGCTCCTTCCACCCATGTAGTTTCACTCATGAGAAAAGTGAAACTGCAGCTGGTAGACTGGCATTGTGTGAAGGGTGACAGAGAGAACGATTATGAGGACTTCTTTAGAACCCTGGTTTATTTCTATCTCTCCTCTCTCCCCAAGGAGCCCTTGGAGAATCCTCACAGCCCCCACAGCACACCTCCAAATGAGTACTACTCAATAAGTGCAGCACTCCCTAGGACAGGGGCCCACCCTTCTCTTCTGGAGGTCTACATCTCTCGAAGTCCCCACTCTTGCCCCACTTGGTAGAATGGAAACTGGTGTGAGAGTTTGGCTCAGAGGCGTGAGTTCTATCGGAAGTACTCGCTGAAACAGCTGTTCTCTGTATTTAACCCTTCCTTCCCTGAGTCCCCAGGCACAGTTGGCAAATAAAATCTAGGAATATGGGGCTTGGCCCCCAAATGCACCCCATCCCAGGACCAGGGGGAAGGCAATGGGCTGACCCCAAGCACTACACTCTCCACAGGGGAATAATCGAAGATGGAGTAAGATTTTTTTGGTCTTGGATGGTGACGGGTGGGAGGAGGGGGAGGATCAGGAAAAATAACTGAGTATTAGGCTTGATACCTGGGTGATGAAATAATCTGTACAACAAACCCCCATGACACAAGTTTATGTATGTAACAAACCTGCACATATGCTTCTGAACCTAAAACAAAAGTGAAAAAACAAAGATTTCTCGGTCTCTGGTCACTACCTCCCTCATTAGCTCCGCACCTCCACCCTTACCTCTCAGGAATGTTCCACATACTCAGGGAGTAAGCTTGGTGGACAAAAGGGTGAAAGATACAAATAAAAATACTTCTGACATCTATTTAACTGATTTTACCCAAATGCTTTAAACCTGGGAATGTACCTTTCTCCCTCTGCCACCCCTGACAGGAGTGGGATGAGGGCCAGGGCTGCTGCTCCTGCTGACTCAGTATTGGCTGATTATTGCCTAGAACTGATAAGGTAATCAAATGACCTGGCACCTTCAACCTTTATCCTGGCAGCAGCCTCTTATTCGCCTCTTTTCCTGCCAGAGCCCTCCACTGGGAGGGGATGGGCAGAAGCTGTTTTCTGAATTTGTTTTAAGGGGGAAGGGTAGGCTCACTGATCAGCATCCAAGTCATGCTGGGCTCTCTTGTTTTCTCCCCCTGTCTCATTACACATTAACTCAAAAAGGAACAAAATCATTTACACTTGCCCTCTAACCCTGACCTTCATTCCCCTAACCCCCACAGCCCTCAGCCCTGTCTCTGATTTCAATTCCTTTCTCCTTTCTTCTGCTCCCCAGTATCACTCTGCCAAGTTGCAGTAAAGTGGGATAAAGTTGGGAGATGAGATCTACCCATAATGAAATAAAGATACCACGAGCTGAGGGGTTGATAAGTCAGAGCTTTCCAGAGAAATAGCTTCAAACCCTGCTTCCTGCTGCATTCAAATCCAAGTACCTCAGATCTCAAAAGAATGAACCTCAAATATACTGAAGTGTACCCCCTTAGTCTTCACTAAGGGCTGTACTCCCTGCGTGTCACCCCATCACCATGAGTCAATCTCCCATGTGCTTGTCTTCTCCTCCCCCATTTCTCCAACTTGTTTATCCCAAAATGGTCCCTGCCCCACTGGGCCTATCAATAGTTCCTGTCACCAGACAGGGGGTGGGTAAACAGACAGGTAGTATATAGCCCCTACCTCTCCAGCCAGGGCTGGCACAGGCGCCAAAGACAGAGACGCTGACTGGGTAAGATGGGGAGGCAAGAGGTGTGGGCAGCATCCAAAGAGGCCTGGGTTTCAGCTGTGGAGAGGGACAGAGCCAGGTTGGAATGGGCAGCAGGTAGGGAGATCCCTGGGGAGGAGCTGAAGCCCATTTGGCTTCAGCGTCCCCCCAACCCCCACCACCGTGTTCCTAGGCTGCCTTCGCCACTGTTACCAACATGAAGCTGCTCACAGCAACTGTGCTGCTCCTCACCATCTGCAGCCTTGAAGGTGGGTATGATACGGAGAGGGGATCAGAAGGGAGAAGCTGCTGGCAGTTATAGCTACCTATCTGCCTGTGCTCTTATGTCCGGGTCTGGCAACCAGAGGGCTCAAAAGAAAGATCATTCCCTCTCTAAAGCCCAGAAAGCCATCCAAAGATCTGGCTGGATACCATTTTGGGGAGGAGGTGGAGAGCTGGGGTGGGTACTGGCAGAGGTATGGCAGGAGGCCAGGACTCATTGCTGTGGACCCAGCTGAAAAGAATGTGTTTGTGTGTGTGTGTGTGTGTGTGTGTGTGTGTGCGCGCGCACGCGCGCAGGAGCTTTGGTTCGAAGACAGGCAGAAGAGTCGAGTGTGGAAAGCCTGGTGTCTCAGTACCTCCAGACCGTGTCTGACTATGGCAAGGACCTGATGGAGAAAGTCAAGAGCTCAGAGTTTCAGGCCCAGGCCAAGTAAGTCTCAGGGAAAGGAGTTCAAGGGCTGTGGAACTGTGGAGAGAAAGAAGGGAAGATGAGAGGTCCCTCAGAAGACTGAACTAAGGGGTGGGGATTAGGGCAGATTAGGCTTAAATTGGAGAGAAAAATTCCTTCATCACCCACAGATCCCCCATGTCTCTTAGATAGAGAGGAACAACAAGAACTGGGTCTTGAATTTCAGTCTCTAAAGTCTGTTCCTCTACCCAGCAAAGGTCTTGCCTCTACTCCTACCTAGGGGCTTTGCCATGCGATGGAACAGGCACTAGAGTTTGGGGACCTGAGTCAGCCTGCTCTTACCTCTCACCACCACCAAGGTCCCTGCCACTGCCTAGGGTCCCTCAACTCTAATTGATTAAACTCTAATCCCGCCACCTATCCAGGGCTTATTTTGAAAAGTCAAAGGAGCAGCTGACACCCCTGGTCAGGAAAGCTGGAACGGATCTGGTTAACTTCTTGAACTATTTCGTGGAACTCAGAGCACCGCCTGCCGCCAAGTGAAGCGTCCAGACCATTGTCTTCTAACCCCACCTGGCCTCTAGCGCACTCACTGGCCAGGCCTAGAGCTCGTCTCCCTACCCACACTTTGCTACAATAAATGCTGAAGAAATCTAGCTGTGAGTCTGGTATGTTTGGGGGACTGGAAAAAGTAGGGGAGTAGGGGAGGAGAAGAGGAAGGAAAAGGAAAAATCTGCTTCTAGAAGGAGAGAAGTTTGGGTGTGGAGGGGCGAAGAAAGTATTGAAGACACAACTGATGGAAATGACAGGATGAAGGTGCCATGATTCTTCTCCAAATCCAAGGAGTCTCCTACAGGCTGGGCATAGCTCTGCAGGAGAACACTAAAGAGCCTTTGCAATGCACATGGAACTAGGAGAGGAAGGAAGGTTTCACAAACTGAATGTCTTGATTTCTGAGTCATAGAAAATGAGGGTACCCTGGCCAGGTGCAGTGGCTCACACCTGTAATCCCAACATTTTGGGAGGCTGAGGCAGATGGATCACTTGAGGTCAGGAGTTCCAGACAAGCCTGGCCAATATGGTAAAACCCCATCTCTACTAAAAATACAAAAATTAGCTAGGCGTGGTAGTGGGCGCCTGTAATCCCAGCTACTCGAGAGGCTAAGGCAGGAGAATTGCTTGAACCTGGCAGGCAAAGGTTGCAGTGAGCTGAGATAGAATCCCTGCACTCCGGCCTGGGTGACACAGTGAGACTCTGTCTTAAAAAAACAAAAAAAGAAGGAAAGAAAGAAAAGAAAATGAAGATGCCTCTCATAATTTCCTTGAAGAAAAGAAATCTTTCCAAAAATTACTACAGAGGAGTCTCCTCAGACCCTCCTTTCCCTTCTGAGCTGGGAGAACACTGTGTTTCCCGCTTTCCCACAATAAGAGACCTGGGTTTGTTCCTTTCCCTAGAAGTGCTCTAATTTCTCCATTTAAAACCTCTTATCGCTGGACATGGTGGCTCACGCCTGTAATCCCAGCACTTTGGGAGGCTGAGGCAAGTGGATCACCTAAGATTAGAAGTTTGAGACCAGCCTGGCCAACATAGTGAAACCCCACCTGTACTAAAAATACAAAAAATTAGCTGAGTGTGGTCGCAGGCACCTGTAACGCCACCTATTAGGGAGACTGAGGCAGGAGAATTGCTTGAACCCGGGAAGCAAAAGATGCAGTGAGCAGAGATCGCGCCATTGCACTCCAGCCTGGGCAACAATAGTGAAACTCCATCCCCAAAACAAACAAACAGACAAACAAAAAACACACGCACAAAAAAAACCTCTTATCTAGTCCAGGTACCGAGCTAGGCCAAGTACCATGGCTCACACCTGTAATCTCAGCACTTTGGGAGGCCGAGGTGGGAGAATCATGCGGTCAGGAGTTCGAGACCAGCCTGGCCAACATAGTGAAACCCCCATCTCTACTAAAAATACCAAAAAAATTTGCTGGACATGATGGCACATGCCTGTAGTCCCAAGTGCTCGGGAGGCAGAGTCAGGAGAATTGCCTAATCTGGGAGGCAGAGGTTGCAGTGAGCCAAGATCATGCCACTGTACTCTGCACTCCAGCCTGGTGACAGAGTGAGACTCCATCTCAAAAAAAAAAAAAAANAAAAAAAAAAAAAAAAAAAAGAGTTATTTCCCTACCCTGGCTCATTTCTCATATCTCATCTGAAATCACCTTTCCCCCCAGACACTGGAGATGGCTCCAATTCCTTCCAGTTGCTGATCAACCTCCTTCATCTGGCCTTTAAGACCCTCACCATTCACGATTACTCACGACCCCTTCTCTTTCCCAATATCCACTTTTTCTCATGTGGCAAAATGTGCAGGGACAAAGGAGATCTCAGTTGGTTCCTTGCAAGGTGACTTTAGACAGGTTAATTCACTTCAAAGAGCCTGAATTTGCTCACAGGGTTAATTAGCAGATCAAATGGTACAATGAGCTGGAAAATGCTTTGAAAAGTATAAGTCACTATGCAGTGTGAAGTGGTATGCAGCACTGTGGGGGCTGAGGGCGTGGCAGGGATAAGCTTGGAGTCTCTAGACCCATTCTGAAAAGACTGTGGGTCACAAGCAGGACTGGCAGCATCTTCTGAGGTTTAAATTCTTCCGGGTAACTATTCCTGCTGGCTCTAGAAACAGGACAGGCACTGACAGAGCCTTGACCACCACCCGTGCACTTGAGGGAGACGACCCTCCATCTGGACCCAACTCATTTTTCTTTGCCTTACCTACCACAAACCCATCCAGCTCTCTAAGGTCCCTCTTGCCCCAGATGCCCTGAAAATTCATCATTCCTATAAACCCTTCTATTAGGAGCTTCACACAGCCCTAGTCACACCATCTGTTCTGCATATTTGGCTTTTCAGCTATGCCCATTCCCATATGTACTGGATTGGTACTGTCTGGATTGGTGACTATCTTGGGAAAGCCAGGCTCCCCTGCAACCCAACCTTCGTTCAATTGTCAAATACAGAAGGCTATGCTGCTACAGAAGTCATTTCTTATGTTTCCAAATATGCCTAGACTCCCAACACACTATGCCCTGCTCCAGCTCTGTCCTCAGAGCACCTAGAGGTCAAAGGTTTTATCCCTCCCCCAGCCCAGTCAGTGTTCATCCCTCAATTGAGTAAAACAGCCCTGAAGTCCATTAGACTGAGTTCTCGAACTGAAAAACTGTATCTAGTGCTTAGTAGAGACTGAATAAATATATGATAAATGAATGAATGGAGTCCAGTCTGTGGCAGCTTTATTGGGGATTCTCCCTCCCTATATTTTAGCTGGAGTTGGGGATGGAGAAGAGAAGAAGGGTGGGACAAGAGTGAAACTGGAATATAAACATCTGTGAATAGCATCTGAGTATGTCTTTAACAGATGAGAAGGATTGCCGTTGTGGTGGCTCATGCCTATAATCCCTGCACTTCAGAGGAGGCTGAGGCGGGCGGATCACTTGAGGTCAGCAGTTCAAGACCAGCCTGACCAACATGGAAAAACCCTGTCTCTACTAGATATACCAAAAAAAAAAAAAAAAAAAAAAAAAAATTAGCCGGGTGTGGTGGCGCATGCCTGTAATCCCAGCTACTCGGGAGGCGAGGCAGGAGAATCGCTCGAACCCAGGAGGCAGAGGTTGCGGTGAGCCGAGATGGAGTCATTGCACTCCAGCCCGGGTAACAAGAGCGAAACTCCATCTCAAAAACCAACCAACAAACAAACAAACAAAACAGGGAGGAGGAACCACCGGTGTATATTAATTTGGGGGCACAGGATTATTATAGGGGTAGGGGTAGGGCCAGCTCGCATAAATGGCAAGCAGGCGTATGTGATGCCAACCATGAGAGCTGGAAGAACAAGAAGCCGAAGAAGAATACGACCGCATGTGTTCTAAAGCTACTGTGGTGGTTTCTCATGCTTCAGAGTCTCGTAAGTCTCCTGGTTTCTGGTGCTCAGGCCCTGGAGGTGGGAGTCAAAAGATGATTAGGCGCCGGAGCCCACCAGAGGCCCCGCCCACTTCCGCAGGCCCCGCCCCTTCCAAAGGTTGCTCAAAATCCCACCCTCTTGTGCTGACTTTTGGGGAGGCGGGGCCACTTACCGTGTAAACACCATCTGATTTCTGCAGAGACAAAAGAAGCAAAGCATTAGAGACCCACACATCCAGGGCCCCTCAGCATCTTCCCCACCCAGGGAAGCATGGTGGTGGGGGTGGGCAGCCAGCCGACTTGGGCTAGAGGGCACTCACATGGATGCTCTGGGCCACGGATACACATTTGCCCACATGGCTGTAAGCACACACATACACCCGACGTACCACACCCAAGTCTCTCACATATCCCTTGTCACTCTGTGCTTGATTCTTCCCTGTCACCCGCCAAACATTTCACTCATGGCTTGGCTAGGTAAGGTGGGAGAGAGGCCTCTGAGGTTTATGCAGATCAGCACCTGAGAGGCATGCTTCCCCAGAGGCCGGAACCCCAGGCTAGAGCCCCAGAAGGGCTGAGGGTCTGAAAAGTTGTTGACACCAGGTGTGGGAAGGTCCATACCTCATAGCTGGCTATAGCTGCCTTTCGCACCTGGATCTGGAATGGGGGAAAGGTTTTCAGTAAAGGGGAAGTTAGTGGTCCATCCCCTTCCCTCCAAACTTTGTGGAGGCTCCCCTTTTATTCCCTCTCTTTGAATCCTTGCTGCTGCCCCCTCCCACTTTCCCACTTCCTCTTCCAGTGCTTACCGCACCGCCCGCCCCACCCCACACACTACCTTCAGTCGACAGTAGAGGAGGGTGAGGACAATTCCATAGAGAAACAGGATGGCATCCAGGATGTAGCAGAGCTGAGGCTCTCCCAGGGCCGCTGAGGGGATAAAGGTGCCCATGAGGTCAGGGTCATCAGGGAGGACCTGGTGCTCAGAGGGGAGAAGAGAAAGCGTTCTGGGAGGTAGGATAGGGCCTGGTGGGGATCCCTCTAAGGGAAGACATTTTATTTCTCTCTGGACTCCCCCTGCTCTTACCTTTCCCTCTTCTCCCCTATCATAGGGTAGGGCTAGGATAGGAAGCATGAGGGTTCTATTGAGATGGGACTTAACATCTACTAATAATTGAGGACTTCCCCCTCAGCCCCCAACCTTTCAACCTTTACTTTTTAGCACTGTGGGTTCTTCAGGCACCATTGAGCACTTTATCCACCTCAAGGGACCCATCTGAGTCCAGTGGACTGAAACCAAAACCTCATCTGAGAGGGGTAATGGGAGGGAGAGGCAGTGGCAAATTTCAGTGAAGAAACCACAGAAGTGCCTCTCCTAAGTCCTGTGACCTGTGGCTGAGGGCTGGACAGGAAGGATGTGAGCTGCGGAAAGGAGAGAAGGCAATTACTCTGTTACTAGTCATCCCCTAGCCTCAGCCTTATTGCTTTGTGTCCCACCACAAGATATTTAAATATGTTTAAAAAAAAAAAAAAGTGTGTCTGTTTTTCCCAGGCCTTCTAGATACCTTTGGCCCTGCACACAAGGCTTGGGGAATGATCACAAGCTATATGGATTCCAGCTCCTGCTACTCTGCCCTATTACTCACTCTCTGGGCCTCTGAGAGGGGAAGTTTTGTGCAATTTAAAAAATCAGATCAAGTCTGGACTCCAGAGACTGCTGTCACCCCCTATCAGAGGACCAGTAGGGTACATGTGGCCAACGTCAGTCAAATGCTGACATTGGCCAAGAACTCTTTCTTCTGCAACACTCTTTCACACACACACGATATTGCACAAATCTTAAAACTACCCTGTGAGGGAAACATCATCATCGCCGTTTTATGGATGACGAAACCAAGGCTCGGAAAAGCTAAGTAGCTCACTCAGAGCCAGAGTTAAGTGACAGAGCTGGAACTCAAACGCAGGTTTTCTGCTTCCAAAGCCCTTGCTTGCCTTTGTGCCTCAGCAACCCTCCTCCTTCTTCATCCCAAGGCAGCAGACCAGGGGCTAACTTAATACTCGCTCCCACCTTCTCAGCTAGGCTGCTGGAATTCTTCCCCAGTCATTCTCTTTCGATTTCTCCAGTTTCCCTGAAGTTTACTGACCTCCTCCTCCCTGACACCCAGCTGCCACCAACACACACACACACCAACCCAGCACAGATACCCAGAGTGAAAGAGAAGTGAGAATTCTTAGTGACTGGAGCCTTCAAGCTGTGGAGAATTTCCTATTTCTGCCTCTGTTTCTCAGCTGACACTCGGGTCTCTGGAACTGGGCATCTCATGCTGCCCACCCTCATATCAACTGCTGACAGAATGGTGCATTGGCAATGATCCACAGAAACAGCAATCACGTCTGTTTGTCTCAGCTATATCCTTGCCTCACTCCCAAGAACAAGGACAGATCCCTACCTTCCTAAAGGGTTCTGTATGTATCTGTATCTGTATCTAGATACATATGTGTATATTTTTTGAGACCGGGTCTCGTTCAGTCACCCAGGCTAGAGTGCAATGGCATGATCTTGGCTCACTGCAACCTCCATTTCCTGGGTTCAAACGATTCTTCTGCCTCAGCCTCCTGAACAGCTGGGATTACAGGCAACCAGGGTGCTTTGTATATTAAACCAGCTAGAGATCATCAGCTCCCAGCAGACAAGACCAAAGGCACCCCATGGGAAATGCTGATCACAGGGAATGAAGCTTTTCACCAGACCAGTTCTTCATGCCGTACAACCAGACCCTTCCCCTGCCACTTTCTATCAACTATGAAAAGAGCCAGGAACAGTAGCACTTTCGGAGGCCAAGATGGAAGGACTGCTTGAGGCCAGGAGTTCAAGACCAATGTGGCCAACGTAGCAAGACCTGTCTTTTTTTACTAATAATAATAGCTGGGCACGGTGCCCCACACCTGTAATCCCAGCACTTTGGGAGGTCGAGGGGGATGGATCATTTGAATCAGGAGTTCGAGACCAGCCTGGTCAACATGGTGAAAAGCCATTTCTACTAAAAATACCAGACTTAGCTGGACATGGTGGCTGGCGCCTGTAGTCCCAGCTACTCTGGAGGCTGAGGCGGGAGAATCGCTTGAACCCAGGAGGTGGAGGTTGCAGTGAGCCGAGATCGCGCCACTGCACTCCAGCCTGGGCGACAGAGTGAGACTCTGTTTCCAAAATAATAATATTAATATAAGAACAAAGAAGTCTGGGATGAGGTAAGACGGCAACAAGAAAGAAGGGAACTATAAGTCTGGTGCCCTGAGTCTGGGCTACATAGAACCAGCCTCAGGGTCTCCCTATGCCCACCTACCCACTGTACTTCCTTCATGCGTGTTTGACTCAGCTCTCAAGACCCATGCTCTGGATTTCCACCCTGGAGCCAGCTTGCAGTATCCCGCACCAAACCCTCTTACCTGCTTGTTCAACCAAAAGGAGTAAGAGCAAGACCACTGCTGGAATCATCTTGGGCTGGGGATCGGCCGCTCTGACAGCACTGTGCAGCTGTGCTTAGCGAGCAGTTCCCTGACCACAGAGTACCCTCCTTCCTGCCACGCCTTCCCCCACACTTTGGCCCCTTCCCCTTCCTGCACAAGAGACTGGGCGGCTCCCGGAAGGGCCAACTAAGGGAACTGGGAGATCTGGGCTCTTAAGCCTCAGCCCTTTAATGACCAACTCCTAACCCATAGAATGAGGAGACTCTCACGCTCAGGAAAGGCTGTCTATATCTGCCATTTTCCACTCCGCCTGGTTCAGAAATTTATCTGTGCTAAACTACCCGTCAACATTCCCTCAGACCCCATTATAACCCTTTCCCTCCCTACAGGAACCTTACCCCAAGTCTTGATTTGAGTGGCTTACCAATTTATGTGAGCACTGAGAAGGTTTGAGCAGGAGGGGAACTGAGGGGAAAGAGGAAACGGGGAATGGAGAAGTGGAAAGGACAAGAGTCAGAGAAGGGGGTGGAGACGAGCAGGAAAAATTGTAAAGATCGACTGACTCTAACAGGAATGGAGGGTCAATGAGCACTCTTAGGTTTACAGTCAAGGTGAAGGACACTAAGATACTGAGAAAGACATACCAGAAGTTTAGGCCTAGGGGCCGCAAGGCGGCTAATTTATTAAAATTTCTCTTTTTTTAGTACATGCACAGAAAGCCTGACAGCCAAGTGTACATGAACGCGCGCGCGCGCACACACACACACACACACACACACACACACACAGAGAGGCCCATTTCCAGCGAGGGACAGGCTCCACAGAAGAAGTTAACAGGCAGGGAGGATCAAATGCTGCTCCCCTGCTCACCGGTCTATTTCTCCAAACACAATATCTTGGGTACCTAGGAGGTGAGAGGATGGAGGAAAGAAGTGATGTTCCTTATCTTCCTGTTGTGAGGCAAAACAAACAGTGGTTTTAACAAAGATCCAGAACCCATTACTGTGCTCAAGAGACTGTGGACTTGAGTCTATGCCCATGCCCCACGGTGAGCACGAAGTGTTCTGCTTCTGTCCCCAGTGGGCGTCCCCAACTCCTTTGTCTAGGATACCTCTATTACACAATGGGCCTCATACCTATGATGGCAACGACATCTGCCAACATGTGTCCCTTAGACATCCTGTCCAAACCAGCCTGGGGAGATTGAGATGGCAAGAGTTAGATAAGATTTGCAAGGTGGGAGGAGAAAGGAGTTCATAAAAAACTCAACCAACTTCAGAAAATGACTGGGTTAATTCACTGGAGTTAAAGTTGCTGGGATTGATTCTTACCAGATGGGCAAAACCAGGAGCCTTGATCTTGCACCGATAAGGGCGACTGCTGCCATCAGATACCAAGTACACTCCAAACTCTCCCTGTCCAAGGAAGAAGGTTGGGTGTCTCTATTAACAGGAAGAATACTTTTCTCTGCCAAGAAAACCTCTATTCATCCTGCTGTTTTCTCTCTCACTGATGAACGAGCATTTTGTTAAACATCTATCTTTAGCTACCTGCTCCACATATGGTCTTTTCCTTCCCCTCCTCTCCTCACCTTGGGAGCCTCAATGGCAGTATATGTGGCTCCTGGAGGAACTTGGTAGCCCTCTGTATACAACTTAAAGTGATGAATCAGTGACTCCATGGAAGTCTGAAGAGAGGAAAAAGGGAGCATCAATAAACCGAATCCAAACTCTGTCTCCTAGGCCTTACTCCAGCACAGAAAATAATCTCTACTCTCAGGAAGACTAAATCCACATGTAAGTCAGTAGGCAGAGAGGATACAGAATAAAACAAGAGAGCTATGGGAGATTAAAAATCTCTTATACAGTGAACTCTCTATAAAAGGAAAACTGGGCTGTGCAGGGTGGCTCACACCTGTAATCCCAGCACTTTGGGAGGCCGAGGCAGTTGGATCACCTGAGGTCAGGAGTTCGAGACCAGCCTCACCAACATGGTGGTGAAGCCCTGTCTCTACTGAATAAATTAGCTGGGCATGGTGGCTCATGCCTGTAATCCCAGCTACTTGGGAGGCTGAGGCAGAAGAATTGCTTGAACCTGGGAGGCAGAGATGGCAGTGAGCCAATACTGCACTATTGCACTCCAGCCTGGGCAATAAGAATGAAACTCTGTCTCAAAAAAAAGAAACAAAGAAAGAAAACTGAAAGGTAGGATTTAATCCAGCCACTGGCCCCTTTCCAACACCCCACATTTTCCACCTCCCTGCAGCCAACCTTCATCTCTGCTCGCTTAGGTGGAGACACTTTGGCATCATCAACCTTGATCTCTCCAGGAGGCATCTTGTTTAGACACTGCACAATAATTCTCAGGGACTGGCGCATCTCCTCCACCCGGCACAAGTACCTGAAGTAGATAAGACAGAGCAAGAGAAGAACAGTCAGAGGAGCAGGTATGGGCTGGGAAGGATGCCCTCTGGCCAACCTCAAAAGGGTTAGGTCAACTTTCCCCAATCTTTTCTCCAAGTATAGCATCTCTGCTTGGCTTGGCCACCCATATAAACCCTGCAGTCTTTTTTTTTTTTTTTTTTTGAGTTAGGGTTACGCAGTTCACTGCAGCCTTGAACTCCTGGGCTCAAGTGATTCTCTCATCTCAGTCTCTAAAGTAGCAAGGATTATAGGTGTGCACTACCATGTCCAACTATTTTTTTGTAGAGATAAGGTTTCACCTTGTTGCCCAGGCTCATCTCCAGCTCCTGAGCTCAAGCAACAGCCTGCTTTAGCCCCTCAAAGAGTACTGGGATCACAGGCATGAGCCACCAGGCCCAGTCCCCTGTAGTCTTTTGCTTCTACTCTTGGGTGCTTCCCCAAACCCTCTCATTTTCTCACAACATGGCCTATAGTACTTATTTCTTTAATTACCCCCTTACACACTTTTTAGACGACAGAATGGGTGAGAGTCAAATGGACAACAAAAATACACAGTAGCTACCAGTTAAAAAAAATAAAACAGACAAACAAAAAATACACAGTAGCAAATCTGACTCAGCGTCAGTAAACAGGAGGAGAAATTGTTGTTGTTGCTGTTTTGGGATGGAGTCTCGATCTGTTGCCCAGGCCGGAGTGCTGTGGTGCGATCTCAGCTCACTGCAACCTCCACCCCCGAGGTTCAAGCGATTCACCTGTCTCAGCCTCCCAAGTAGCTGGAATTACAGGCATGTGTCACCATACCTGGCTAATTTTTTTTTTTTTTTAGTAGAGATGGGGTTTCACCATGTTGGCCAGGCTGGTCTTGAATTCCTGACCTCGAGTGATCTGCCCACCTTCACCTCCCAAAGTGCTGGGATTACAGGTATGAGTCACCGTGCCGGCCCAGGAGGAGAATTTAAAGCTAAAAATCTAGTAGAAAGAACACTGGATAAGGAGGATTCCAGTCTCAACCACTTCTGCAGAAAAATTCCAGCTAATCCCTAACTTTTATGTCTCAGCTTTCTCAGTTATAAAATGCAGCCAAAGCTAGCTCCACCTAAGACAAGGATAATATAAAGATAAAATAAGATGTCATAGGCCAGGCAAGGTGGCTCACTCCTGTAATCCCAGCACTTTTGGAGGCCGAGGCAGGCAGGTCACCTGAGGTCGGGAGTTCAAGACCAGCCTGACCAACATGGGGAAACACTATCTCTACTAAAAATACAAAAGTAGCCAGGCATGGTGGCACATGCCTGTAACCCCAGCTACTCAGGAGGTTGAGGCAAGAGAATTGCTTGAACCCAGGAAGGGGAGGTGGTGGTGAGCTGAGATCACCCCATTGCACTCCAGCCTGGGAAACAAGAGTGAAACTCCATCTCAAAAAAAAATTAAAAAATGCCATGTAAGTGAAAGTGCTTTGACAGCAACCTGGTTTAAGACACACAAGAGCTCCCACAGATACTGAGAAGCAGAGTAAAGAAGGAAGTGGAAAAGAGAAGAGTGAGGCAAGAGAAACTAGCTGGACAATCAGCCAAGAAAAGATTGGGGCCTTACCTATCATAGCAGTCCCCGTGAGAACCAATAGGAACATCAAACTCAACCTGGTCGTAAACATCATAGGGCTGGGTCTTCCGCAGGTCCCACTGGATGCCTGAGCCCCGAAGCATCACTCCACTGTGGAGAGCATCATGGGAATAAGGATCACTCTCCACAAACCAAGTATAGAGGCTCATTCTTCCTCAGCACCCCCTTGTTTCTCCTTCAGATTCAGGGTATGACTAGCAGGGTGCCAACAAGTCTTAAAAGACGAGATAGTAGGCTGGAACTCCCCCACTCCCATCCCCACTCCTAAGGAGGGAAGTTGTATGCCCCTCACCTAAAACCATAGTTAAGTGCCTCTTCTGCTGTTATGACCCCAATGTCAACTGTCCGATTCTGCCAGATCCTATTGTTGGTCAGCAACTATTGATTGAGAAAACTGGTGTTAATTCTCTTCATCACACTCTTCAGATACCTCTGTATTTCTCTACAACTGGGGAATAAAACCCCGCAAGCCCTTCTTGCGGGGGAAAGAGAGACTTTTCCCATTGACTCCTAGCTTACCTCCTCCAACTCATCAAGCCGAAGAGAGAAGTTCTTAGAAAACTCATAAATGTCATCCATAAGCCCAAGGGGTAGGTCCTAGAAGCCAAACGGAAATGGTATTGAGTGCTGCATAGCCTCCGCCAAGGAGAGCGGCCCAGCACCCCCTCCCGCAGGGCTACAGGGTTGGCACTTCCATCAGCCAGCACTGCCCTCCAGTGGCCACAGGGAAAATAGGCCTGGGCTGGAGGTTTGGGGCAGCGTCGGATCTGCTCACCTGGTGCACCCCTCCTGGCCGGATATAAGCAGCATGCATTCGGGCTCCAGACACTCGCTCGTAGAACTCAAACATCTTGATAGGACATGCTGAGAATCAGTGTGAAAGTCCCAGGCCCCCAGGTCCCATGGTGGTCTACTCCCCAACGTTCTGCCTTCTTGTTCCCAACCAACCCCTCATGACATGGTTTCTACAGATATAAACCAAGTTAAACAGACCTTCTCCCTCTAAATGTTCTCCCATGTTCTCTCTTCTTTTAGTCTCCTATCTCCTTCATACC